AAGTCAAGGGAGCCATATTTTGGACGCAGCATACTCATGGACTCATGAACGTACCTATAAATTATGATTGTCCAAAGCCTTAGCACAAATGCAATAGAAATGCATTATGTTAGTAATCACCCAAATGTACAAAGCTTTTCCGACCCACTTGAATATCAATGACCTGAGAATTAGTCATCATCAACTTGACTATTGTTCTAGACAATTCCATAGTAACTTCACAAAATCTTAAAGATCTATACAACAGACTTGTGGCACATTAAGTGATGCCTTTTCCACCATAATATACAGTCCGAAGAACATTGCAACCCAGCTCATCTGAATGAAACAGATTCATCTGACTCGTTAACTCACGTTTTCCAATGACTCACCAACCTCTCAAATACCTTAACCACAGCAATCCTCATACATGAAATATTTAGCATAAAAGATTGTTATAAGCAAATAATAATTAGTGGAGAACAGGGGCAATCATTGGATGACACCATCCTATCTCATAAATGCATGCAAAAGCCACTGCCAAATGAATCCTCGAAATACTGCATAAGCTTCCATGCATTACAATTACAGCAGGCAAGTTCAAGGGAAAAACCAAGGGCTTTGCTCCTCAGGAGGACCAATATGCAGGATCCATACCTCAGGCAGACCAATATGCAGCTATGAACTATCCGCAGGATCCATACAACTTGGAGACTGCATCTAAGGCAACACACTGACATTTTTTTTGAAGTAATATCTAAGCTTCCCTAGTCAATGAAAGTTCCTATATTGTTCACAGACACAACCAGATAAGAGATCCAGAACTTTTTCAAAGGTCGGAACCGGTAACTTCACTTGGTATTATCAATGGTGGATGTTGAAAGTACTATGAGATAGGGTGGGTAATGCTCTTTTTTTAGACAGATAATTTAATGATACGAATATATGTACATATACAAATAATATGCACATATACAAATAATATGCTTACAAATTGCAATCCGAGTCCAATGAATCTTAAACAATGGTAACCAAGTTCAAATTTAATAAAATATCTAAAGAAACTACAACATAGCCTTACAAAATACATATGAAAAGCATAGTTATCAAATTGAGATTCGTATCGAGAATCGAAATCCTAGATTTGAAAATCGAGAATCACATCGAATCGAGAATCGTAAGATTCAACACAAAATTCAAACAAAGATAAAAAATAACATGTACATGATTGTTCTCTGGATAGGCTGGGTGGTGTCCGATTAGCCATGATTTTGAACCAGATTTTTTTGTGATTCACAAGAGAATTCAGTACCAGCAACTTGATTAACCAACCAAGGCACAAAAGCTACTAACATTCGATTAAAAAAGGAAATTTTTATGAAAATCAAAAAACAGAATTAATTTGGAGAAGAAGAGGCGGAGGAGGAGGCACACCTGGAGTCGCAAATAGAGAGTTGTGTAATCCTTGAACTTGAACAGACGAGACGCGCATGCGTGAGAGAGAGACTAAGTTTTTAATTAGGATGTGGGTCCTCTACCATACAAACGACGTTGTTTGACTGTCTAAACTGCCAAACAACGTCGTTTTGATAGAAATATGGTTTTTTTTTTTTTTTTTTTAAAAAGCGAGAATCATACAATTGGTTAATCAAGTAAGATGCGAATCAAATTGGGACTATATCGAATCGAATTGTGAATCATTTGGTTTTGATAACAATGAAGGAAAGTATTACATCATTTAATATAATGTCGTTATATATGCAAATATGAGATCAGATCCTATTTTAATCAAATTTTTTGAATCAATATTGTGTAAGAAACAAAGAAGAGATGAAAAAAGGAGTCCCGTTTTTTAGAGCCCTTACCTTTTTAGCAGGCTACAACACCCCTGCAATTGGCTCCTGCAACAAGTAATGTGCAAGGGGCTCGTGGTGCAAGCAAATATGTATCATCAACTTTTACAAAAAAGCAAGCTGAACTCACATCCAATTCCTAACAAGTTCCAAGGTTTAAGATGTTGGAATGCCTAACATGCTTACCATACATTTTGCATTATCTTTTACCAAAGGGTTGGCCCCAACTATTAAGTGCAAGAAATAAAGTTTCAGACAAATTGTCGATTTTTCTTCTTGAAAGATCTTGTAGTCCTCGTCCTAAGAGAAAGAAATCAACCTGAAGAATACATCCAAGATATTGAATCAAGCACCAAAATTTGCTTCAATATTAAATTCATCAAGGATTGCATAGAAAAAAGTATGTCAGACAACATAATCCATCAATGGCAAAAGCATTAATGCTCTAGAGGGGTAGAGCCAGAGTGCACCATTTAGTGGGGGAAACAAACAAAAAAGAATCTCTAACCGATATTTACTAGTTTAAGCATGAGATATGTAATAAGATTGAAGATCACATCACTATATGAAAAATGAACATAAGATCAATGATATATCAAAACAGATAAAATTCATCTATAATTATTAAATTTATCACTAATTTTTCTTTCAATATATACAATCAAAAAACCTGTGACAAAATCATCATCCATCATTTTGTGTAAGCATAATTAAGATCATCCTCAATCTTGTTGATAAATTGATCACAAAAAATATCATTGTGGATTAGTGTATTTTACCATTTTGTATCTAATCTTGTATACGATCCACTAACTTACCAAAAAGAACAAGGGCAAATTATACAAATTCTATTAAAAAATAGTAACTTTAGTAAATATATGCAAGGATCGAGATGTTTCAAAAAAAAAAATTATTTTTGCAGTCCCAAGAAGAAATTTTTTTTTTTTTTTTTGATGATGCTCTACAAGTTTGGCTACTTACTACTTCATCAACACTAGTTTCAAATACTTAAAAATCCATAATGAAGACTTTGAAAATATCAACAAATGAAATCGACTATGGTATCCTTTATAAAAGTTAGCATTTGGGCTAAGTAAATCATAGGTTTAGTTGGAGGTGCAACCCAAGCAAGTTGGTCGGGATGGGAAAACTAATGAAGCAAACACCCCACCTAAGACCAAACCAAGTCCAGACACACAAGCCTAATTAAAGAGATAGGTCACTTTATAACACTAGTAGGTCAGCCAAGATAGAGATAGTGTGAGTTGTGTGAAAGTAGATGACTTGAGGATCAGAATTGAACACTGGCTCATAACCAAAAAAAAAAAAACAAAATTGGCCAATGAAAAGTGGCAATCTAGATGGTAGCAAAGCACTCTCGGACTCTGTTGTACAGAACTATACCAATCTTGATGATGAAAAATTAAAAAAAAAAAAAGGATAAAGAAGTAAAGATCATTGTGGCAACCAAAAGAAGACTTGTTGAAGGTTGATTGCACGTAAAGCATGTCATCAGAGTATTATTTGGACTCATGAACGTACCTCTAACAATAAAATCCCAAGGCGTCAACTTAAATGCATGGCTATGCATTGTGTTAGTAATCACCCAAAGGCACAGAGCTTTTTCAACCCAAGTTGAATACAGGGGAACAGATAATTTGTCAACATTGCCTTTAACACTATTCCAGACAATTGACACGTAACTTCACAAAACAGACAACCCACTAGAAAAAACCTTAAATGTGTTGTAGGTCTAAGGTGATATTGGGGTAGTGGAATGCAATCAGGCAAACTAAGGAAAATGATAGTTATAAGAAGTGCAAAAAATTCAGACCACTTTGCAATGTCGCTGAATGGTACTGAATGGTGACGGGCAATACGCTGCGAGTCAATTACAAGCCAAATTCGACTTAGACGGCTTTGTGTCAATCATGAATTGAGAGAAAGTTGTGTTTTACACGAATGTGTCAAGTTGGATAAAACTTGGTCCAATCTTGCCGGAATCAGATTCTTTGAACCATGATAGGCTAGCATAATCTACCAACAAGGCTCGTGATTATACAAACAGACTTGTGGCACATTGACATTGTAAATTTTCAAAGAAGCTGTGATAGATAACGCCTTTTTCAGCATCATATTCACTCCATAGAATATAGCAAAGCAACACATCTCAATAATCAGATTTAGGTTGAGTAACTAACACAAGTTTTCCAATAACTCTCAACCTCTCAAACATTGACCACAATAATTTCCATGCATGCAATCTTTGACTTTACATGGTCATAGGGAAAAAGGGCACGGGCATTTATAGATGACACCCTTCCAAACTCTTTTAACACATTTAAAAGCCTCTCTCAAATGAATTTTCAAAATGCTACAATGAATTACATGAAAGGTCAAGGGCAAAGACCAAGGGCTTTGCTCCTCATGCGGAACCATATGCAATGATGAACTATACAACTTGGTGACTGCATTTTTAAGCTGTAGTAATATTTATGCTTTACTGGTCAATGAATGTTCCTAGTCAACAACTAGAAGAGATATCCAGAAAATTTCCGAAGGTCAGAATCCATGATTTAGAGTGGTAACCATGACTTCCGATGGTAATGTACTTCTTTCATACAGATGGAAAACTGGGAATTTAGAATATCTGGTGTGAGAAAACAGAGCCTAATCTAGCAGCCAGGAAATTTGAGTATCCAGGTTGGCAAAGAGGAGCAACACGACATATGATAGCAAAACGAATTGGATTCTGTCACATTTTTATCCTTTGTGCAAGCCTAATCCATAAATTATAACTTAATAAACAGTATCACCAATTAAAAAGAAGTCAATGTATGCTTCTTCCACCAAAAAAAAAATATATGCTTCTCCCACAATAATGACACTGACTGGATGAACCCATGCTTTTATCTAACATAGGCAGCCACCTTTAGCAGTATCGATATATCTTTGGACTATATGCAAATTTTGCCGGAAAAAAAAAAAAGCAAAGCAGCTCTATTTCTGCCACACATTTCTTAAATTAGAAGGTTAGTAGGTATCTGGTAGTTAAGAAATAAAAGTATGCATTTATCGTGCTCAGACAAAATATTGACAGCTTAAAATCTGCAACTTTACAAACAATAGTTCTACACACTCCTCCTTCCAACTTGGAAAAGTAGTTGCGTCAAAATTAACTGAGTTGTCGTATTAATACCACGTTATGGCAAGTTAACAATAGGCACGCTACAGCATATCGAATTCATAATAAAAAAAAAATGAATAAAACCATGCAGACTAAATGCGGAGAACTGATGAAGAAAAAATGTTGAAAATAGATGGGGGATTCCCAGATTAATTTGAAACGACATCGTCGAAATAATAAGTTAAGTTTACGGCATACGTTTGCGAACACTATAGCATTGATGAAATTAGCATCCGAGTCTCATCAAAATAGCACTTCCTCTTCATCAAACTGAACAAAATATATTTGCACTTCAGTTTTACTAACCTCAGTTCAATTAAGCATTGCCATCATCACCATGGAAGTCCTTGCGGATATCATCAGAAATATAAACCCCAGGCTGAACCGCTCGCCGTCGAGTCCTCGACGGAAGAATGTTATCCATATCAACCTCCGCAAGCGGATCATCGGAGAGATCACTGTCGCCATCAGATCCAATAGAATCGTCTGATTCTTCTATCAATTTTCCTTTACCTCTATCCTCCACTAGAATCCCCTTGCCCTTACGATCAACGTCAGCTTTCTCATTCGAATGCTCATCTTCATCGTCATCGTCATCGTCATCGCCATCGTCCTCTTCATCATCTTCGCTTTCGTAATCCTCTTCTTCTTCGTCTTCGTCGTCGCCGTCCTCCTCTTCTTCTTCTACATGGTTGTGTTCGACTTCATCGATTTTTTCAACTTCGGGAACTGAGGAGTTGTTGTCCGAAGAAGTTTCGAGTTTTTGATGCTTTTTTGGATTGTTTTCTGAGGCCTGGACAATGCCTTCTTCTACGAAAGTGAGATCGGGCTTTCGCTTCGAAGGCAATGCATGTTCTTCCTCTTCTTCGTTCTTCCCTTGTGCCATGTGTAATCTTCTTCGATCACTTGGACAATCTAGGGTTCCAGGGCCCAAGTTGAACAAATACAGAGGAGGAGATAGAAAAACAGTAGGTTGGAGTGTGTAGGCCTTTTCGGAGGCAGGGGTTGATTGGTACTCAGTAAACAATCCAATATATAGATACTTTCCAGTAACCAGCCCTCACAATTCATGCTTGGTCCAAGCCCATTTGATTCACCATTAGGTTGTTTGAAATATTTAGGCCACAATTTAACATAATGGGCTACCACTTCTATGTAATTAGTGAAAATTGGGCTCCGTAGTCTTTACGAGAGTTATAATAAGTTTAATTCGTCGAGAAAATTTATTGGAGCATAAATTTATTTTTAATTTTATTAATAAATAATTAAGTTTTAAAACTCCAAAATACCTTTTTTTGAAAATAATTTTTAAATTAATTTTCTAATTTGAGAATTATTCCTTAATTCACTATTAATAAAGATATGCCAAAAAAAATTTTTTGCATAAATTTAAATTTTAAATTCAAATAACAACTGATTCTCTCTCTATATATATATATATATACTAGTCATTGTCCGTACCTGAAGGCACTATGTTACTTATAAAACTTCAACACACAAAAATATGATGTTTGAATAACTACAACGCATAACGATTATATTGGTTTTGAACATTTTTTGTTAGTGCAATTGGTATCTTATTTTTTTTGTATTAGTCACTTATTTTTTTTAATTGCTGATTAACTTGGACTTAGAATTTTTTTTTTAATTTTATAAGAACTATAGGTTTTCATATAGTAGTGATTTATTTTTGGTATAAATAATAACTTGATAATTTTTTTATGGATTATAAAGACAATTTAAACTTCATTGATTGATAAGAAATAAAAAATAAACATTAATCATCGGTACTAAGATGCGTGATAAGAAAATTTATTTATAGTGTACTCTAAGTATGAATCAGTTTGTAATAAGAATGATAAAAAATTATATAGTAAGTATATAATAGTTTTTAATGAAATATTATACTAAATATTTTGAAAAAATCGATATACTAAATAATTTATATGTCAAAAAATGGTGACATTGTCTATTTGGGTACTGATTTTTGTGTTGTAGTGACGGTGTGTATGTGGTTATTGGAGTCAAATGTTAAACTGTCAAACTTTGAAAAAGAAGCACTAAACTTATAAATATTTTGTATTTTATATGTGTTTAATAAAAACATTT